AAAAACATCATAGTTATGATAAGCGACTACATCTTAGATGTTAAGTTCGTTAACCTTGAGGATACTACTGATTCGATTTATTCGGAACGGAACGAAGGCTCAGGATTCAGAGACTCAATAGACTATTCTGGTCCGTTGTCTTCGACTCAGCTAACTCTATCAAGAAGTCTTGGTAAGGCGTAGAAAGTATATTCTACAAGCAACAGCAGATACCAAGTCAGGCAGGCAGATCAGATCAAGCATACAAGTCAAGCGTATTTATACAATTATTTACAATCGATATTGTCATAGAAAATTTTTAAACATTAATCAATGAGTTCATTAATTGGCCTGTTTGCGCATTTAATCGATAGTTCATCAATTGACCTATTTGCGCATTTAATCGATAGTTCATCAATTGACTGCTATTCGAAGATTTAATCGATCAGTTTATCAATTGACCCCAATACAAATATTTAAACGTTTAATCAATAAGTTGATCGATGCGATAAAATTCAAAATGAGTTTGGGGATCTATCGTCCCCAACACTCCTCCCCTTTTTAATAGCGGGCATTTCTGGGGTCAACCTGCATCTTGACTGTAGCTCGCCGTTCTCTTATAGGCCACCGTCTGGGACGTGTTTCAGCTTGTTGTTGGGGTTTTTCTTGCGGTAGGGTTGCCGGTAAGTTGAAAGTATCAAGCAAGATGTCGAGAGGAAGATTTAGTCCTGTTGATGGGTGGTCTGGGGCTATCCGCTTACGTAGTTGATTTCGGTGTCTAGTCCATGTGCCTCTTCCCACCTTTACCTCGTACATAACTTGGCCTAGTCTTCCGACCACACGTGCTTTGATCCAAGGACCATGATTTGCTCTGTAGTCTCGAGCGAACACAGGGCATCCAACCTCGTACGCTGGAAGCTTCTGAGATTTGGTCTGAGATGGTGGTGGTGTGGTTCTTGGGCGCATGAGACTGTGGATCGTCCTCAATTTCCTTCCCATCAGGATCTCTGCCGGGGACTTCTGCTGTGGTGGCATATCACTAGGTGTTGTTCGGTAAACAAACAAGAAATTCTGCAGTGTTTCTACTGGTGTCCCCTCCCCTCTCGACTTCATTAGAGCTCTCTTGAATGTATCCACAAATCTTTCTGCCTGGCCATTTGACTGTGGGTGGTACGGTGGAGAGCGGAAATGCTTGATAGATAGGCGTTTGCAAAATTCTTGAAATTCACTTGAGGTGAATTGCGAACCGTTGTTGGAAACGATTATATCCGGTAATCCGTTGCGGGAGAACATCTCTGTCAACAGTTGCATCGTTTGGGTTGTCGTTGGTGGCATGACGGGAACGATTTCTGGCCATTTCGAAAAAGCGTCAACAACGACTAGATAGGTGATTCCATTAATTGGGCCTGGGAAATCGACATGTATCCTGGACCAGGGATACTCAGGATATGGCCATGGGACTGGTAGTATTTTCGCGTTACACTTGGCTGCTTGCTGACACTGTGCGTGGTCGTCTGTCGATAGGGAGGCACCAACTGCATCTTCGCCGGCCGTATGGTGTTCGCTGGTTGAAAACTCCGTCAGTAGTTCTTTCGAATATGTTTCAGGTTCATGAGATTTTTTCATCAGATGGCATACGGTGCTCAAAGGAACGTCAGCTAAACACAGCCGGTCAAACCAGTCTAATCCAAGTAGATTAAGATCAGCTGGTATGATGTAACATACACCGGTAAACGTCGAATCGTGAAAAGACACTTTACAATCTAGTTGTGCCAACAAAAGTAGGTAATTACCGCATGCAGTTCGAGGTTTTTGCGTTGTACGCTGCAAGTTTGGACTGCCCATTTTGATCCAAGTCTTACGAGAGAGGATAGTGACATCTGATGCCGTATCTACTTGCAATCTAGATGAATGCCCATTAATATTTAGGGTAATAAATTTCCTCTCAACTGGGGTTGAGTTCTCACAGCTTGCTATTAGACTCAACGAATTCGTGTTGGATCTAGGCGCAGGCTTTCTGGTACCTTTGGAGTTGCTTGGCTTCTTTTTTCGACAAAAACCATCTTTATGACCCACCACGTTACATTTCCTGCACCGATGTTACTTATATGGACAGTATCGAACAAAATGCCATGCACCGCAGTGCCAGCATGGAGCAGGAGGATTTGTTTTTGTCTTTTGACCTGAACTGGATGCTGCTGGGGCAGATTTATGCGAGTTGCGTGGTTGTTGGACTACATGAACTTCAGCACGATCTGAACCACCACGCTGGACCATCGTAGTGTCACGCTGTAGATTGATTAGGCGTTGATATTCGTTTGCAATATCATTAAGGGTTAGTTTTGGATCTTGGTCCAATCGACTTAGCAAACGTGTTCTAATGTCACTAAACTTCTGTGATTGAAGGCTGCAGATGAGAATGAGTGCTTTAAATTGGTCTTCAGTAAGCGACTTCAACCGGAAGCGTTCACATTCTCGGTTAACGATACCCACATGTGTGAGAAAATCAGCGTCTTCGTTCATAGCGAGCTTCAAACATCGATAACGCGCATTGAATAGTGAGGAGTTGTCTCCGAATTGTTGGCTCAATGACTGGACAGTGTCCGAGAATGAGCGATCGCGTGGGTTTAGAGGCAGAATTAGGTTGCAATACTTGTCTTGTTCATTAGGACCCAACTCTCGAAGCAGCAAGCGGACCTTCCAAGCATCATCCTGATTAGCAAAGTCGAATTTGAATAAGTCTTCGTAACGTCGAAACCACATATCAAACGTGACATTGGATTCTGGATCGTAATGAAACTCGGAGATACTGTTAGCGATGCCATCAACTGATGGTGCAGTAGTAGTAGGATAAGAACTGCTTGGTTGGGTATTAGACGTAAGCTTTGCATCTGCTAACATTTGAATAAGTTTCATCTGCTGCTCGAGTAATAATTCAAGTTTAGAAGGATCCATGTTTCCAAAACCACCGTCGCCAAATTGTTAGGTTCGTTAACCTTGAGGATACTACTGATTCGATTTATTCGGAACGGAACGAAGGCTCAGGATTCAGAGACTCAATAGACTATTCTGGTCCGTTGTCTTCGACTCAGCTAACTCTATCAAGAAGTCTTGGTAAGGCGTAGAAAGTATATTCTACAAGCAACAGCAGATACCAAGTCAGGCAGGCAGATCAGATCAAGCATACAAGTCAAGCGTATTTATACAATTATTTACAATCGATATTGTCATAGAAAATTTTTAAACATTAATCAATGAGTTCATTAATTGGCCTGTTTGCGCATTTAATCGATAGTTCATCAATTGACCTATTTGCGCATTTAATCGATAGTTCATCAATTGACTGCTATTCGAAGATTTAATCGATCAGTTTATCAATTGACCCCAATACAAATATTTAAACGTTTAATCAATAAGTTGATCGATGCGATAAAATTCAAAATGAGTTTGGGGATCTATCGTCCCCAACACTCCTCCCCTTTTTAATAGCGGGCATTTCTGGGGTCAACCTGCATCTTGACTGTAGCTCGCCGTTCTCTTATAGGCCACCGTCTGGGACGTGTTTCAGCTTGTTGTTGGGGTTTTTCTTGCGGTAGGGTTGCCGGTAAGTTGAAAGTATCAAGCAAGATGTCGAGAGGAAGATTTAGTCCTGTTGATGGGTGGTCTGGGGCTATCCGCTTACGTAGTTGATTTCGGTGTCTAGTCCATGTGCCTCTTCCCACCTTTACCTCGTACATAACTTGGCCTAGTCTTCCGACCACACGTGCTTTGATCCAAGGACCATGATTTGCTCTGTAGTCTCGAGCGAACACAGGGCATCCAACCTCGTACGCTGGAAGCTTCTGAGATTTGGTCTGAGATGGTGGTGGTGTGGTTCTTGGGCGCATGAGACTGTGGATCGTCCTCAATTTCCTTCCCATCAGGATCTCTGCCGGGGACTTCTGCTGTGGTGGCATATCACTAGGTGTTGTTCGGTAAACAAACAAGAAATTCTGCAGTGTTTCTACTGGTGTCCCCTCCCCTCTCGACTTCATTAGAGCTCTCTTGAATGTATCCACAAATCTTTCTGCCTGGCCATTTGACTGTGGGTGGTACGGTGGAGAGCGGAAATGCTTGATAGATAGGCGTTTGCAAAATTCTTGAAATTCACTTGAGGTGAATTGCGAACCGTTGTTGGAAACGATTATATCCGGTAATCCGTTGCGGGAGAACATCTCTGTCAACAGTTGCATCGTTTGGGTTGTCGTTGGTGGCATGACGGGAACGATTTCTGGCCATTTCGAAAAAGCGTCAACAACGACTAGATAGGTGATTCCATTAATTGGGCCTGGGAAATCGACATGTATCCTGGACCAGGGATACTCAGGATATGGCCATGGGACTGGTAGTATTTTCGCGTTACACTTGGCTGCTTGCTGACACTGTGCGTGGTCGTCTGTCGATAGGGAGGCACCAACTGCATCTTCGCCGGCCGTATGGTGTTCGCTGGTTGAAAACTCCGTCAGTAGTTCTTTCGAATATGTTTCAGGTTCATGAGATTTTTTCATCAGATGGCATACGGTGCTCAAAGGAACGTCAGCTAAACACAGCCGGTCAAACCAGTCTAATCCAAGTAGATTAAGATCAGCTGGTATGATGTAACATACACCGGTAAACGTCGAATCGTGAAAAGACACTTTACAATCTAGTTGTGCCAACAAAAGTAGGTAATTACCGCATGCAGTTCGAGGTTTTTGCGTTGTACGCTGCAAGTTTGGACTGCCCATTTTGATCCAAGTCTTACGAGAGAGGATAGTGACATCTGATGCCGTATCTACTTGCAATCTAGATGAATGCCCATTAATATTTAGGGTAATAAATTTCCTCTCAACTGGGGTTGAGTTCTCACAGCTTGCTATTAGACTCAACGAATTCGTGTTGGATCTAGGCGCAGGCTTTCTGGTACCTTTGGAGTTGCTTGGCTTCTTTTTTCGACAAAAACCATCTTTATGACCCACCACGTTACATTTCCTGCACCGATGTTACTTATATGGACAGTATCGAACAAAATGCCATGCACCGCAGTGCCAGCATGGAGCAGGAGGATTTGTTTTTGTCTTTTGACCTGAACTGGATGCTGCTGGGGCAGATTTATGCGAGTTGCGTGGTTGTTGGACTACATGAACTTCAGCACGATCTGAACCACCACGCTGGACCATCGTAGTGTCACGCTGTAGATTGATTAGGCGTTGATATTCGTTTGCAATATCATTAAGGGTTAGTTTTGGATCTTGGTCCAATCGACTTAGCAAACGTGTTCTAATGTCACTAAACTTCTGTGATTGAAGGCTGCAGATGAGAATGAGTGCTTTAAATTGGTCTTCAGTAAGCGACTTCAACCGGAAGCGTTCACATTCTCGGTTAACGATACCCACATGTGTGAGAAAATCAGCGTCTTCGTTCATAGCGAGCTTCAAACATCGATAACGCGCATTGAATAGTGAGGAGTTGTCTCCGAATTGTTGGCTCAATGACTGGACAGTGTCCGAGAATGAGCGATCGCGTGGGTTTAGAGGCAGAATTAGGTTGCAATACTTGTCTTGTTCATTAGGACCCAACTCTCGAAGCAGCAAGCGGACCTTCCAAGCATCATCCTGATTAGCAAAGTCGAATTTGAATAAGTCTTCGTAACGTCGAAACCACATATCAAACGTGACATTGGATTCTGGATCGTAATGAAACTCGGAGATACTGTTAGCGATGCCATCAACTGATGGTGCAGTAGTAGTAGGATAAGAACTGCTTGGTTGGGTATTAGACGTAAGCTTTGCATCTGCTAACATTTGAATAAGTTTCATCTGCTGCTCGAGTAATAATTCAAGTTTAGAAGGATCCATGTTTCCAAAACCACCGTCGCCAAATTGTTAGGTTCGTTAACCTTGAGGATACTACTGATTCGATTTATTCGGAACGGAACGAAGGCTCAGGATTCAGAGACTCAATAGACTATTCTGGTCCGTTGTCTTCGACTCAGCTAACTCTATCAGATTGGAAGCTAAGAATTTTTATTACTAATAAATAAATCATTCTTATTAACTTGAATATCATGTAAATATTAAGTCTTAACCAATATTTCATTATAGTAAGTTGATTGTTATAAATTGTTCAAGATTTTATTTGTGAATAGCAATCGCTTGTGTATTCTAAAGAAGGCCTTTTAAATGGTCTATTCTTGATTGTTTTGTAAAATTCTTACAAAGAAAAACTAGATATTTAAGAGGAATGATATTGTCTTATACCTATCTTTGTGCTGACAAGCACAATAACATGTACTGGTTAATAGTTGTAAACAATTGTTTTGTTAGGAACAAAATCGAATTCTACTTATATTGTATAAAGGGAACTTTTTTATTTTCTTCTTTTTTTTAATATGATTCTAACTGAAAAGTTGAATCATTTTAATATTAATCGTTGAGATTCCTAAAAGACGTGTTATTTATCTACATTAGAAAATAAGTTCCAAAAAGTACTTAAATTGTGTATCATTTACTTATATATATATACTGCGTCATATAGTGAGTTAATCTTGAGAACAAAACAACTGTTTACAACCATTAACCAGTACATGTTATTGTGCTTGTCAGCACAAAGATAGGTATAAGACAATATCATTCCTCTTAAATATCTAGTTTTTCTTTGTAAGAATTTTACAAAACAATCAAGAATAGACCATTTAAAACGCCTTCTTTAGAATGCACAAGCGATTGCTATTCACAAATAAAATCTTGAACAATTCATAAGAATCCTTGATATTGCCATAAATAAGTAGAAGAGACGGGACAATTCAGCGTTCGATTTATTTAAAAAGTACTTAGAATTGCCTTTACCTGAATTTAAGTAATTACAAGAAGGCATTGGTTAAGACACTATTTCATAGGGCAGAAGGGATATGTACCACTGATAAACTGAAAGAAGAATTGATGAATGTTGAAGGATGCCTAACAGACAACTACCACCCACAAAAGCTTGTTGATAAATTTGAAAAACCTAAAGAAAACAAAATGTAAGTGAATACAGTGAATAAAAAACCAATACCTATAAATCTCAACTACATAGTTGATGATGTCACAACCACAATCATTAGGAGGCTTAACGCTGCATTGACTAAAAATTACCCGGTAGCCAAACTATTACTTCTGTATAAAACAATAACCTAATAATATATCATCAAGCAACCCCCGTGTGTTTATAAATTTACGTGTACTTAACAAAGCAGTTACATTAGACTAACAGAAAGGTGAGCATATTTTAGATTTTTTTTAACATGTTCTAAAATGTCTTAGAACAAGAGGAAGAACAACTTTAAACAGTATAATTACCAAGCATTTCTTGGTTACAGGATTTTAATTTTAGTCATCAAGATTTCTAAAAGATACGCTATTTATCTAAATTAAAAAAATAAGTTCCAAAAAGTACTTCAATTGTGTATTTTTTATTTAAACAATTTGAACATAAATATTATCATTCATTCATTTAACTAAACAAATTTGTCAATGATCAAACTTTATTTAGTTGGTTGTAAATTAAAATAATAATAAACAAATGATAATTGATAAACAAAAACTATTGGAGGTTGAATTCAGTTTATTAATAAATATAATTTGAATATCTACATTATATAAAACACAATAAAGAACTTGTTTAACTAAAATACTTAAAATTTAACTAATTTTATCACTACTGAGTAGTAAACAACTCCGGTTGGAACCCCTCTGAGGCTACTGCCGATTCCAAGCCCGAATAAAGAAGGAGGGTTGGGCATGGGTTGGAGAATGCTAATCGGTGGCCTATGCTCCATTGGGGGGTAACAGGAGTAAGTAAGTAATTAAGTAAGTATAGTAAACAATTTTCAAGAATGTTACAGTCCTATGATAATCATATTGTTGTATTAAAGTTAATTGTGAATAGTAAAGTGAATACTTACAAATTGCAAAATGAAGGAATTCTTACACAATGAAACATACATTATTCAAGTTATATAAATATTAGAATTATAAACCTTAATAATAATAATAATAATAATAATAATAATAATAATAATAATAATAATAATAATAATAATAATAATAATAATAATAATAATAATAGTAATAATAATGTAAGAGTCTTTCATTATAAATATTTTTACAATGTAGAATAAATAAGTGATTATATATCATCATACTATATACTACATATTCATCGATGAAGAAGAAGGTTCAAATGTAGAAGTAAAGGTGAGGATCGACAAAGCAAGGGCCGCATTCCTACAATTAAAGAACATATGGAACTCAAAACAACTTTCAACCAATATCAAATGAGGATCTTCAATACGTCAAGGCAGTTCTACTTAACGGAGCTGAAACTTGGAGAACTACTACAACCATCATCAAGAAGGTACAAGTATTTATAAATAGCTGTCTACGCAAGATACTCAACATCCATTGGCTGGATACCATCAGCAACAGCCTTCTGTGGGAGAGAACAAACCAGCTTCCAGCTAAAGAGGAAATTAGGAAAAGACGATGGAAATGGATAGGACATACATTACGCAAATCACCAAACTGCATCATGAGGCAAGCCCTAACTTGGAATCCTGAAGGGAAGCGGAAAAGAGGAAGGCCAAAGAACACATTACGTCGGGAAATTGAAGCAGATATGAAAAGGATGAATAGCCACTGGTAAGGATTTGACTGGAAGGAGCTGGAAAGGATTGCCCAGGACAGGGTTGGATGGAGAATGCTGGTGAGCGGCCGATGCTCCTTTAAGAGGAGTAACAGGCGTAAGTAAGTAAGTAATATACTGCATATACTATACTATAGTATATATATACACTATACTATAGTATATACCATAGTTAAATATTTACTGTATTAAATGATTAATTAATGCATAGAATATTGAAAAATAATAAAACGTCATTGGTCACACTTGGATAACCTTCCATTGTTTTTCTCATATTAAATATAAATATGTTTTCAAAAAAAAATGATTCGCATTGATAATTTCATAGAGTTAGGTTCTATCTTTTGAAATATGTTCAATAATGTTATGTATTCATCATTCGTTCATTATCTAGATTCCATAGAACACTGTATTCACATAAACACCTACGATGGTAAAATATATCTTCATATAAAATCCATATAAATATTTTAATAATATTTCCTTTAATGTAACGAAGGATTATACTGCATAATCTTGTTTTACTATTTTCTAATTCATTTCACCTTCATAGGCACAATGTGATTGAAAATTACATATATTTTTTTTCAAATTGGAATAAACATTATACTCAATATACTCAGATGAGTGACAATAGACATTTGGTCCGATTTTTTAAGAAGAGCATTTATTATTTAGACTACCATGGAAAAAGATGAAATCGTTATTTACTAACAAAGATGAATAGTAACTAGCAGTGGAATCTACAACGTGTGTTCCGTTCTATTTGTGAATTTTCAGATGGATTTACTTGCGTCTCAGAGTTGATATCCATCTATGGACTCGAACCCATTACTGTTCGCTTCAAACGCTATCACGTTAACTATTCAGATACTGAGCCCTGATAGTCACCTGCTTGTGCAATGAGGTGAAGTTTAATTCACTTGGTATTGTTTGCTTGTATCTTCCAATAGTTGTTTAGGACTTCAATTGATTAGTCCCATGATTGCATACGTGTATCCTGTGAGGACTGCCTCGATATTGCCTCAAGTCATAAGCTTTATAAACAAAGATGGATAGTGGCTAGCAGTGGAATACAGGACTGGCATTCCATTACATTAGACTGACAAATAGAACATTTTGCAGAACAGTTCAAGTGACATTCACCTAGCTACTCGTTCCACAATATGTGCAAAAGTCTAAATACGAAATTAACACAGCTCCCCCAACTCTTGATAAGGTTGAAAATCATATAGATAATCTGTAGCAAAGAAGGGCAGCAGGTCTTGATGGAATGACACTAGAGATCTTCAAGAATGGTATTCTAGTTTCAGCAGTGAAGTTGATTGAGGCACTACCTAGAGTTTTGGAGAGAGACGTGATTTTATCTAACTGTTCATGGTCGCTGGTCGTCCTAGTTACTATGAAAAGTCTGAGACCCTATTTTGATAACCACAAAAAAGTCATATTGACTTATATAATACAAAAAATACTATCCACTATATTAGAGCTCATGAAAAAAAACTAAAAAATCAGGCTACTTTCAGACCTGGAAGTGGAACTATTGGTCAAATTTGTACTCTTCATCAGGTTTTAGAGCACAGACATATATAGTGTCGACCGACTAAGGTGTGTTTACCCCTCCCCTTAAAGCACCACTTAGCTCTGCTGATAGAGATGTTTTAAAGTAATGTTTGTTATTGAAATATATCAACCTTGTAAAAGTTCTCTACTCGAATGTTATTGCTTGAGTCAGAGCTTATGACGAACTGTTACCAGAAATATCAAGCTCAAATGTTGTCCGCCACAGTTTCTAACTGTCTCCCTTTTTATGTAGTTTCATAATAGATGTCATTCTACAAATAGTTTAGTCGGGCCCTGACATTTCACTCAGTTTACTCACTAATTACCATATCATTTTTGATATTTTATTTGTGATGGGAAGAATTAAATATAACTATTCATCTATTCATGTTTGATTCGAAAACAAGATATATCAACTAACTGATGATACATAGAATGAATAAAAAATGATCATATTCAGAAAATAAAATGTTTTTTTTTCTAAACACGTCTAATTCAACTATCTTTCTAGCCATACAACCACTTTAAATATAGGTATCATTACCAAGGTTTGATTTGATAATTTCGAATAAATTGAGCATTGGGTTAACTGTTATAAATAAAAATAATA